CCCCGCACGGGGAACGAGAAGCAAAGACTGAGCAGGCGGCATCCAGGCGTCTGGGCCGTCGTGGAGGGAAGAGCCCACCACACTGGGTGAGGAGGACCCCGGGGTAAAGGGGGAAGTCCAGGTCACCGGAGTTTGGTTTCCGTACAGGGATTAAGCAAGTAAGTAAATGTACCGGGATGCTGAGACAGGAAGATCGCTAGTGTCTAGGAGCTGAAGAGCAGACTGGGCAATATAGCAAGAGCTTGTCAGAAAGGAGAGGGGGAGGGGGGGGAGAGAAAAAGGAGGAGGAGGAGGAACGGAAAAGGAAGGAAGAAGGGATTGGGGAAGAAAAGGGAGAGGAAGGAAGGAAGAGGGGAAGAAGGAAGGGAGGAGAAAAGGAGGAAGGAAGGAAGGCAGGCAGGGAGGGAGACTGCTGTAAGCATGAAAATAGATAATGGAATTTAACACACAATAAAATAGGAGAGTAGAGTTCTTACTGATACAGCTAAATTTAAAGTTTGCATGAGGGATAAGGAACATACAAAGTTTCAAGGAACTGCTTTGAAGAACATTTACTGATTAAAAAGAAAAAAAGAATATTCCAGTGGACAGCCTAGCAGACAGCACCTTAGTAAACGGATCAAATCCACACTGTCTGGCCCGGGGCAAACCAAAACCATGCTCTATCTGGTAGGGTGCAATCAGATCACCACATCACTTTGGAATTCTCTTGAGAAAAATATCTAAGTGGAATCCAATCAAGAGAAAAACCAGACAAACCTAATTTACGGGATATTCTAAAAAATAACCAATCTGCAATTTTCAAAAGTGTCAAGGTCATGGAAATCAAAGAAAGTCGAGAAAATGTTTAAGACAATCAAAGAAACAAGACAAAACGATCTGTGTGCTATAAAGAATATGTTGAGGGGCAAGTGGTAAAGCTTCAGTGGAGCCCAAGAATTGCGGAAGGTCCAGAGACAGGCCAGTGCTAACCCCGCCTCTGATGGTCAAATGACAGCAGAGTCGGTCCTCAGGAGTGAGGCACGCGTGGGAACTCGAGTCCTCGGGCTCCAACTTATTCTCGTGGGACTCAGAAAAGATAGATTTGTAAATATGTTCCTGCAAATTTGAGCTTGTAATAATTTTAAATACTGTGTAGATATATGTGCATACATTTAATGATTTTTTAATTTCAAATACTGTTTTCTATCTCTGAAAGTTCCATTTGCTTCATTTTTATATTTCATTTACCTCCTCATTATATTTTCAAAGTCCATATGCATTTACTGAGTAGCTACTTGATGATCATTATCTGATAATCCTATCATCTTGACATTTCTGTTTCCTTGTTTTACTGACTGATTTTTTTCCCTCCTGGTTATGTGTCACAGTTTGCTACATTTTCATATGAGAACCTATGAATATCTATTATGTTGTGGAGAGTTTAAAATTTATTCATAAATTTCCCCAGGCCCCCCCAAAAATACAAAAATAATTTGTATCTCTGCAAATGTTATCACAATTTTATTAACACTTAATTTGTTTCATCCCTTAGTTCCAAATCCACAGTATCCTCCTATTCTGGTTAGTGGGCTTAATCTCCTTCCTTTAGTCTAAATCAACATTTCCTTACATGGTTTGTGAAGTTTCTCTGGGTATTTAAATTGATACATGTTCAGTGGCTTTATACAGACACAAGGCTGTCTACTTCGGTTACCTTGGCAGCGACGGACAGCCAGCCAGAGAAAATTATAATGTTTTTCTTCTTTAATGAGACAGCAGGAAACATGTTCTCTCTTATAGGGAATGAGGCACAGGCAGGATTCATGTGCATTTTTATTTTGCTTTTTAATTAAACCAAACTATATTTTATTTTACAAATATATCTGATGTTGGCTGTTAGTTTTAAAAACATATTCTTTCTTACTAAAAACATTTCTCTTTTTATTTTATAACTTTTTAAGAACAAACATTGAAGAATTTTATCTCAGTGAAGGTTACATAGGTACCATACATACTTATGTAAAAATTACTGAGGTGCACATTGACAGTACATGCACTTCAATAAATACATATATTATAAATACACCAAGGAAAATTTTGACTAAGACATCAATAAACATATTAAAGTTTTCAATAAAGAGAAAGAAAACCCAGGAATAGGTATTTATCAATTGATTATTTAACATCCACTATGTCAATCATATGCCTTTTATAGTTTGTCCTTCAGTGATTTCCTATTATAATTATGAATTTATTCGGTACTTAAATAATGTGCCTAATAAATACAAATCACTTAATCTTCTTAGTTAACAAAACAGGAAATTTAGTCTCTTTTACAGATGTTAAAACTAATATTTAAAGAATTCAAATAAAGTAAAAGTTTAAGGGTTTTTATTTAAACCTAAAGTAACACACAGTTAAAACTGGATTGTCCTTACACATGGTCACAAATCATCCCTATATACTTGGAAAAAACCTTGCTAAGGTTCACTTGTCACAATTATGAATCAGAAAATTTAGTAATTTAATAGAAATAAATGTAAAATACTCATATCTAGTCAATTATGCTACTGTTCAGATTAATAGAGCAAAGATAATTGCCCAAATTCAAGGAACCAGTTTACTAGTAAGAACACAACTAAGAACTGTTGTCAGTTGTTGGAGTCAGAAAATCTATTACATTTGTGGGACTAACAGATTCTAGAATCAACTCAGTTTAAGGAAATTATGGTTTAGGTTTATATGGGATAATGAATTATATGCAAATCCTCAGCCTTTACTAGCTAGTCATTTATTGGGCATTTTCTTTACCTCACCCTGACCTTGGAAAGATTGGTTTAAAAGTAAGTATGTGATATACTTATTGCCATGCTGGGACTTAATTATTTAAAGTAGGTAGAATTTGAAATTTTGATTCCTTCATGATCTTTAGAGACTTTCCTTCACACTGAAAATATTATTATTAATAATAACTATACATGAAATGTTAGAAATGAGTTTGTTTTAACCATGGCCTTTGCGTAGTACTAGTCATTTCTGTGAGCAATCTCCAAGCTTGAGGAAATGTGTGCAATGTCAAATTGCCAGATGATAGGAACAAAGGTTGAGACTGAAATTTGTAAGGAGAAATATGTCATTTGCTATTGTGTGGCACTTCATCAGGATTTTGTAGAACATGGTTCTAGGGTGCTAAAAATATGTCTTTGTATGTTTTTTGAGGTACTTCCATATTGACTTCCACAGTGTTTGTACTGATTTACATTTGTGGAAGCATTCCTTTTTCTGTACACCCTCACCAGCACATTTTACTTTATTTTATTCTATTTGTATTCTTGATGATCACCATTCTGACCAGGTCCACCACTCCTCGGTATATACCTGAAGGAGTTAAAGTCAGCCTGCCACAGGGATTCCTGTATACCCATGGTTTTTGTGGCACAATGTACAATAGTCAAGACATGGAACCAGGCAAGGTGCCCATTAACAGATGAACGGATAAAGAAAATGTGGCATATATAAAAATATGCATCATTTTGTCATTTATAGAAAAATGGATGGGTCTGGAGATCATGATGTTGAGAAAAATAAGCCAGACTCAGAAAGATAAATATGTCATATTCTCCCTGCCATGTGGAATCAAGAAAGTAGAAGGGAGACTATTAATAAACAGGAAGAAGTGAAGGAGGAGAAGGGCAATAAGGGGAGGTGACAGAGGGACATGATTAAGTACGTTATGTGCACGTACAAGTCTGCCAAAATGCAGCCCATTAATCTGTATAACCAATATACAGTAATGAAAATGTTGGGAAAATATAGATTAATACGTTAACATTTTAATAAACAAAAGAAATACATTAAAAAGTTCCTAAAATAATGCTTTACATAAAATCCATACTTAAGAAATGTTAGGTGTTTCCCTCCTTGTTCCATCTTCTTATACCACAATTAAATTTTTAAGCACCTATATTCCACACTAGGCTGTGAACGTCATGAGGAATGAAAATTATTCCCTGCCACATAATCTAAAACAACGGTAGCTCAATATATAATTTCTGAAAGCTAAATAGAGAATTTCTAGCTATTTTTAGTATGTTTACTTAAAAACAAATGATTGAAAGAGTCATTAAGCTAATTATTCAACAAATAATTATTGTGCAGCTATTATGTGTTAGGAACTAAGGTACTGTGGAGTCTAAAATAATGGTCAGCAAGAAAGAGCCATTGTCTTTCTACTAGTTGAAAAGGTGAGACACATATTATCTCACAAAAATATAATTGGGATCAATGTTGTAAAAGACACATGGTGAAATCACAACATAGTAGTGAGATAAATGTTAAAATAACTGTTCAGAAACATTGTCGTGTTGACTTATTTTTCATTGATCGCCAAATCTCTGTATTGTATCACAGTCTAATTTACTTCCCTGCAGTTTCTCCTAAGTTGGAAACAAACATCTAGGCCACTGTTACAGGGAACTGCCTCCCGGGTGGAGGGAGATGAAGAAGGCTGCTGGTGCCTTCCTTACCTCTCCTACTAAGTAACATCATGGCACCGGTTATCTTGTCCGAATGGGTACTTTCACTTTCAGAACACAAGTGAGTCACAGAACCGGAGTTCCAAGATGCCAGTGACCTAAGTGCGGCTCAGATGCCTATGCAGGCAGGGAGCACAGGAGCTCTGGGCCCAGGGACCCCGGTCAGGGCTCTGAACTTTCCAGGACAGGGACAGCACAGATTTCACCAAACTGAGCAGTGGTGACGTCCAAGAAAAATACATCACTTTACCATTTTATCAGTGCCGGGTCGTTCCTTAAATTACTTCAACCCGAGTCTCTGTGGCCTCTCTCTAAGTTGAACTCCCCTGGAAAACGTTACTTTCAAACTTCTGATTATGTTTATAGCCGCTTAGGGGGCGACTTGGGTGCTGCTTACTGAATGAAAGACTTTGCTCATGGAAAACTCCTGTAGAGGAACAAGTGGTTCAAGTCACGCCGGCAAACCCTCTCTTCACGACTTACCTGTTCCTAAAGTAATACTGATTTTCTAAAAACCGCGAGCGAGCCTGCAGCCGGGCTAACGTGGCCATGTACTCTGACCTTGCGCCCCGCCGGTGTTACTCTCGTCTCCGTGGCAACTGGGCGAAACCATTGGCCAGCCCAGGGGAATCCACTTTTTGATTTTCCTTTTCTTCCACCATGATTAGGTTTTAAGAATACCAGGAAGAAAATTAGCAACTTTTAGCTGTGGAAAGTTTAATGAATTTTTATCTGTCTCTTTTATGAGTGAAAAGCGGCGCGTAGAAGAAGGCAAGCGGTGTGGGAGGAATTAATGGTTGCGTCCAGCTTCCGGTTTCCGCCCTGTGGCAGCTTCCTGGAGCTCTTCTCAAAATGCTAAACTACTCTGTGGAAGTCCGCAAGGCTGTAGCAGTTGGAGTCTGTTCTCGGGCCTGAGCCTCCAGGCCAGGCTCCTGGGCGTCGTTAATGTTCGGGGCCGCCGGGCGCCAACCGATCGGAGCTCCAGCCGCCGGGAACAGCTGGTGAGGCTGGCGACCCTGGGGATGGGCGACCCGGAGCGGGTGCGCCGCCCGGGCCTCTGGACCCGCACTGCCGGGGCGGGAGTGGTGACGGACGATCTGAAGACGTGCAGGCCGTGCCCGCACTCCTGCCTGGCGTGGACGCGCTTTGAGGGAGGCGTTTTGACGTGTGCTGAAGATGTGCGAAGGAATACAGTAAACGTTTGCTGATTGTTTGTGTACCAGGATATCTAGGAGTCAAGCGTTCTGTACTACACAGCAGCTGCCCCCCCCCCCCCCCCATTGCTGGCAGCACTGGGGACCGGAGCACTTTATCTGGATCCAGGCCTTATTCTTCACTTTCCCGCTAAAATTGTCATATTATACTAAATTTCTTCAAGTCTCAGAAAGCTAGATTAAAGCTAGATTTCTGGAAAATTGGTAGTGGAAGAGACATCAATCAGTGATCCCCACTCCTCTTCCCGCTTTCCGCTATCTTGAACGTTCCTTTCCAGTTCACAGATGTGTATGGGTGTTGTCTAAGGACGTAGAAAGTCCAGGATTGAGTTTGGGTTTGGATCACGCCCATAGTATCATATCCAGTTCCACTTTAGAGTAACAGACTGCTTTAACTTTTCAAGGTGCTTACCGATTAGACTTTTATCTTTATGACAGCCCTGTGATACCAGAAGATCACAGAATACTGAAGTAATTTCTCCACATTTGCCCTGGAAAGTTTAATCTTAGAGATAGCAGTTGTTCCTTTGTTTAGTTTTCTAATTGTATACTCTGTGATGCGTGCAAGCCTTTTTCCTGCAAGAGAAGCAGTGAAAACAAGCACATTTTCCACTGACAATCCTCAAACCACAGTTTTGACCAAAGGTGAAAGAATGTTGCTTGAAAGTACATGTTCACCCCTAGATTCTGCAGAAAGTAGAAAATGCAGAATTCTATTAGTCTGTGATCACAAAGAAAATTTCTTTGTCATCACCTACAACTGAAAAGTTGAAAGAATATCTTGCCCCAGTTACTTTGAGTTCGATCAAATGATTCTTTGTTCATTTTATAATGAATGTAGAAGTAGTTAAGCTACTTTTAATTGTCACATTTTCTAGTAAGAAATGAAAAGTGGAGAGCACTTTTTTTAATGAGTGCAATTAGGGTAAAATTAAAATCAGTCTTTAAGTACTTAGTTTTATGACTTCTGGCAGTTGTACATACTTTTATAGCCCACACAAAACAAGACAAAGGACATTTCCACCCCCCATATTTCCTTTGCAGTATACCTTTCTGTATTCATCATTCGATGTCTTGGTAAAGGAGGAAGACAAAATGTGGTATATAGTTTGATTTCCCCTTACTATGGTGATGGTGATTTGTTGGTAGGTTATTTGATTAAAAAGTGTGATCCTCTCAATATCTTGCTCTACCTTCCATCTCACACCAAAATTATGGGTAGTTGCCTCTTTGTAATGTTGAGAAGCCTTGAGTTATCTTATTTTTACTTCTTCACGTACAACTTAATGGCGCCCATGTATAACGATAGCATCTGACATTTGTTGGTTTTGGATGAAATTCTTAAAATCTTGCCTGGTGCGGCAGAATGAATGTGTTCCAGAACACTATAAACTTTATTTTCTAGTTTAGCATTTCTTAATGGAATTTTCTGTTTCATTCATTGAACATTTACTAAGCCGTGTTTGTTTTACCCCCATAATGAAATCCCAGTGCTACTGGGGTTGCTACTAGGTCACTACAGTAGTTGGTGCCATGTGTTACATACACGTCATCTCATGTAAGTCCCGTAGATAGGTGCATTATTCTTTGCATGTATATAATGTGACAGAGAAGCAAAGGTAGTTTAAATAACTTGCCTAGGTGTCTTATTTGCAGTGTGATACCAGTGTGCCTAAAGAAATTCCTAACCATCTGGTATTCTGCCTGTGTATCTGAATAATAATGTACAACATCTCTAGGAATATATGAACTACAAAGTTTATCCCCAGATTTGTTAGCCAACCTGGAATTCCTGAGATATTTAACTCCTATGTTGATGTTTTAAGAACTTTTCTCCAGGGGAGGTTAATTTCCCAATTTTTAAGCCCCGCATGAATAAATGTAGATGATTTTTTTATTGAACTATGGTATTCCATTTATTTAACTTTGTTATATGGCTTTACTTTTTTTACTTCAAAGCCATTAAAATAAACTATGTACTCTGGATGTTTATTTCTGCAGTTTCATTTCTGTTGGTAGTTTAACTTTCTTTAGGTCTAGAAAATTGCACAATCAAAAGTATTTTTTTGAATAACTGATTTTCTTGAAATGTTTCCTCCTATCAAGTTTGTATAATTCAGAATTCTCTTTCAATTAAGGATCAAAGCAATAGCCAGAATAAATTTGGGCAAGTAATTAATTTTGCTATAGCTTCTTAGCATCCTATTTATGTCAAGCCAGAAACTGTTAAAACATCTTTGATAATGTGCCCTTACCTTCACGTTCACTTAAACTAAATACTTAAGAGAGTCTAGCTTGTTAATGTGACAGAGAATTTGAAATCCAAATTGTCTAAAATTTTCAGTCAAGTCATATATTTCTTTTGTTATTTGTCTGAACATTCATTTAGTCATTTAATAGTTTGTTCATCCTAAGAGTTTTTAAAACTTATGTGTTAAACAAAATGGTAGGATTTGTAATTAATGTTCAATTGTCTTCTCATTCCTTATGTAGGAATTCAAGATATATTATGTAATATTAATTGAGCATGTAGAACCAATAAACAGGACTCATTATCTACTCGAACTAAAGCTTACCAAAGATGTACTTGAATATATGCATGTTGACAAGAATTACAATTACCTTTTACATTCTAAATTTTTGTCTTTTTTGAAGTCTGACTTTATTTCATTTAGGCAGTTTCTTTTTCAGTAGTTCACATTGTGGAAGCATTTAGAAGAAATGAGAAAAGTTTCTAATAACTCTTGAAGTCATTAAATGAAGTAACAAAAAAAATCAAAAGCACAGTCTTCAAATTGAAATAGTACATGAACTTTCCTTATTAAATCATTAGTTGCAAGTCAGAATTAGGCTTTTTTCTTTAAAACTCAGTGTGGTTTGGTTTTCGGTGAGTTACCAGCAGAGGGAGAACAGAAAACTTCTGAGGCACCCTGCGGTAGCAAAGGTGACAGGTAGTGGTGGCCAGTAGCACCAACAGTTGAATACAAGTCAGTGGGGTCTTTGCTCCCAGGAGGGGAAATGATTTTTTTCTGTTTGGTAGAGAACCTTGTGACTTAACTGGCAAGATTACTTTCCTTACTCCTCTTCCTTCTCATAATATCTGTACATTAAAATAGGAGTGGCTTAGATTATTTTGTTTTTAAACTTAAGATTTTTGGAGCTTTTTAAAGCTTGATAGTGTCCTTAACGAGTCCAGGCACTTCCTAAAATCGAATGCAAGAATTTTGCATATATCTGTTGTCCTTCCTCTGTTCCTAAATCAGACTACTTTGTGGCCCCAGAAAGGTTGGAGGCCTGTGAGTCTGCTTGTGATAGCCTCTGATTCACCTTGAGATTGCACCTTGGAAGCTGCATGGCTTGCTGTTTTGTTGGTCAGTTTCTCTTGTTTGTAGGTAGAGGTTTTGAATGATGAAATAATTTCTCTCAACATTAAGTATCCACTCTGATCCTCAACAAGTCCTTTCATGGTAGAAAATATACTTATTTTTATGATGAATAAACAGAATATGTGAATTGTCCAAGGTTCCATGGCTAATGAATATAATAGAATTTAGCTTCTAAATTCATAGCTCATGTTCTCTAGTTTCCTCCCAGCCTTCTTTTTTTCTTTAGAGAATTCTATTCCGTATTCATTGCCTTGTGTTAATGTAAAATTGCAATTAATCATTTATACGTTTCTGAAAGGTACTTCCCCTTTTTTCCAAACCTACCTCTTTCAAAAGGAGAAAGAAGGTTAATTCTGATTAATAGTTTATTTACACGGACAAGTCAAGGAATTGTATTAACATTTACTGTAAGGGTTATCCTTTTTTTTTTTTTTTGGTACCGGGGATCGAACCCAGGACTTTGCACTAGCGAGGCAGGCGGTGGAATCACTGAGCTAAATCCCCAGCCCAGGTTATTCTTAATTTCTTAAAATTCCCTCCCCAAATATATAAAAGGAAAAAGTTAAAGATATAGAGGTAATAAATTAGAAGGTTGAGATAAGGAATTATTTTGATAAATAGTAACACTATTAAGGAAGGAAATTTATGAATTGCAGTGAACAGCATGAATCAATCAAATTTAAGGTGATTCAAATGGATCATACTGTGTTTAATTAGTCATAAAATGTAACTCTGAATGTGGCACCTTTAATTTTTACCATTTGCAAGGTTAGTCACCCATTGTCATTGTCTGTACTTTGAGGTGTTAATTTTAATGTGTATTGTTCACTTGTTTGCTGAATACTTACTTTCTGGACTGACCTTTCCTATTTTAAATAAATAAAAACTAACATGATATGGAAGTGTGCAATTCCATGTCTTAAGTTTGTGAGTAGTCATAGGATATATCTGTTAACGTCGGTCTTCACTGTATATTGTTTTAGGACAATGTTATTATACACATTGGTTTGTATGCATATAGAATCCAACACAGAAATAGTTATTTCTTTCCTTAAATTTTTGAAAGACAACTAAAGTTGTACTTAGCAATTTAGATTTAGTATTCCACTAATAATATTACTTACTTTGTAGAAGAAATAATCCATGTTTTAGAGAGGTGAAGATAAGAATTTTACCATGTACTGAGTGATGAACAATATTTGGTTTCTTTCCTTAACACATATTTAGTAGTTGTACTAAATTAAGTCTAGGCCTTTGGGGAGATAGACATAAGCAGTTAGTTAGGTCTAGGTTCTGCCTTAAAACAGAAATATTTGGAGAAAATTCTTAATCTCAATGCCATGTGTTCTTCGTTCATTGATCTTCCTAACTCTTAGGCATACATTTTTAGGAAAAATCCTTTTCTGAAATGATTAGATCCTGGAATTAAGGAACCCAGGGACACCACATCATTCACTTGCTGAATGTTTAGTATTGCCTAGAAAAGGACAAACAAACAAACTTGCAAAAAATTCTTTGAATTAGCATTTATCAAATCTCATATCAATCATACATTTCATATTGTTCAGCATACTCTCATATCACTTGAAAAGAATGCTCATCTGCTCATTTTTCTTTTATAAAATCCAACTTTATATAGATAGCAGGGCTGTAATTTTGTTCAGGGCTATTCTGTTCATTTGGACAATCTTAAGTAAACTATTAATGAATGGTTGTTTTAGATATTATAACCAATACCAACTATTTCCAAAAAATTTTATTTCCAAGTGAGTTTCAGATGAAAAGAAATTGTTTTTAACAATGTGACTGTAAAACTCCCAATTAGCTGCGTGGTAATTCACTGAATTTACTTCAATTCAAACTAAAACTCTGGGCTGGGGATTTAGCTCAGTGGTTTCGCTGCCTGCTGCACAAGTGCGAGGACCCGAGTTTGATTCCCGGTAAAAAAAAAAACAAACAAAAACAAAGTAAAACTCTGCATGTTCAATAAATACAGACTTGTATAGAAAAGTTCTGTGTCCCCAGTTTGTCCTCCAATAAGAAAGGTCTCATTTAGAAATGAAATATGTTTAGGATAAAATGATGTTTCAAAGACAGTGGTCTTGTGTTGTTTCAGTACAGCTGCCAAAGCGGGGGAGGGGGCTGTTGATCGTGTAATGGACCCTTACGGTCTTTGGTCTTTTTTCTGTGTGGCCAGTGGATACCTGTTTTACCTAAGAGATGTTGGCAAAGCATCTCCTGACCTTTATTGACATTGCTGATTGCATTAAGTGAAACAAAAGGCCATTATTCTCCTGAAGGTAGTGGGAAAAAGACCCCCTGGATTATGTGGTCAGAAATGTAGCCCCTTTGGGGGCTATTGCTAATTCAGATGTGATACATACATATGTCTTAATCTAATCTGTGTTCTGAAGCCAGTTATATATAGAATCTTTATAAAGGAAAAAAGAATCTCAGTTGTCTTCCAGAGTTTATTTAAAAGATACATATTTGAGTCATAAATCCATTTAGGCTTTTAGTTTTTACACTTAGATTGCCAAAGGAGAGAGATCTGGGAAGTATAAAACCACGCTGACTGAAAAGCAGCCCTGTGTTATGCACTTGCTCACACATGCATTTTGCCAACCACTGAAGGGTATTCACTGAGCTCAGTTTACCTTTACCACCTGTGTCACCTTGGGTGGCTTGAGGTTTCCTTCCTCCTTTTTCCACTCAAAATAATATAATACCCGACTGTGAATTGCTTGGCTTTTACACAGAGATGTGTTAAATCTGTCTCAGTGATTAAAGGCAGAGTACCTGGTAGGAAGTAATAAAATTACAGACTAGACACCAGAACTGGGTAGCTACTGGCTGGAAGCTTGGCACTCTAGAACCAGACTGCTAGTATTCGAATCCTGTCTCCACCACCTGTGTGTGTTACGCTGTGAAAGAGATCTCTCTGTCCCCATTTGGTTGACCTCAGCATTGTTGTGTGAGAATGGAATGAGGTAATACTGTACATCATGCACTTAGAAATGGGCCTGGAAAATAGCCAGTACTCATATGTGTGTATCATAAATGGTAAATGCATAGGAATCTCTGTTTGGTTTTAGGTTATCGTTAAATGCAAAGAAAAAGTTGCAGGTTGTTACAGGGCACTGCTAACATGTGAAAAGAAAGACGATAAAGATGATGTCTAACTATAGAGACCACATAGCCCTTGCCTGCCCACCAACCGTGCTCACTCATTTATGTATTCCTTGTGGCTGTTTTTGCTTTCTAATGACAGATTGAGTAATGAGAGACCCGACTGGCCTACAAGGCCTAAAATATTTATTGTTGGACCTTTGCAGAAAACTGTGCATACCTGTGCTATAGACTGTAGAAATTCTAGGCCTCTGGAGGAGTGTTGAGAATATTTTGATCCCTGAGTGACTCCAGAACTTGACTTTAAAGCCATTGCCCACCATCTTCATAAGAAAGGTGCATATCCTATTTGACATGTTTGCAAAGGCAACTCAGATGCCCGGACTCTGTAGCCCACCGCTAATCTAAAATCTTTGTGAACAGGGTTGGAAAGAACCACATAGTTTACTAAAGACACCCAAGAACACGGAAGCTTACCCTTGCAGACTCAGTGGGCCTGAGTGGCTGCTGTGGAGTGAACTGATGGTGCCCCCTTTGGGGACATGGAAGCTACAGTTTTGATGTGAGCATAGTTTCTGCATTGCTGAGTTATGAGAACAGTAGGGCCAAAATATATTCCTAGTGTGGCTGAACTTTCTTTTCTTTCTTTTCTTGAATCTACCTGTCCACTTCTTCTATCACGAGATAGGGTTTAGAACACATGATAAGTGGATTTGATGCTTCTTTCTTTACTTAGAAATTAGTGGGCAGGGACTGGACTGACAACGTTTTCCTATGTGCTCTAGGAAAACTGGTTCCAGAAAGAGAACAGAAGTAGACTGGGGAACAGAGCTTTTCCATAATTACATAGTAACACTATAAAACTACAGGACTCTTTTGAGCTGGATTATGCATACTCCCTCTTGTAGTAATTTTTGTGTTTAATAAAATAACACATAAAGAGAGGCTTTGGATTGATTTAGAATATTTGAACCAATAGAGACAAAATGGATCAGGAATTATAAAAGGTCGCAGAGTGAGGTCTCAGAGCTCCCGAGTGAAAGGTAATTTATATTTTCTAACACATTGAATAGGAAAACTCAAGTATTTTGCAACATCCATTCCTTTTTAATTTAGAGTAAATTGTGTACTGTAAAAATCTGTAGATATCTGCTGCCAAGAGTGAGTTTGATGTACTTATTTTCTCTAAAACATGTAGGCAGTTCAGTAGAACCATGGAGGAGCTGGTTCACGACCTGGTCTCGGCCCTGGAGGAGAGCTCAGAGCAAGCCCGAGGTGGCTTTGCTGAGACTGGCGACCACTCTCGAAGTCTGTCCTGCCCTCTGAAACGCCAAGCCAGGAAAAGAAGGGGGCGGAAGCGGAGATCGTACAATGCCCACCACCCATGGGAGACCGGGCACTGCCTAAGCGAAGGCTCTGATTCTAGTCTAGAAGAACCTAGCAAGGACTATCGAGAGAATCACAATACTAATAAAAAAGACCACAGTGACTCTGATGACCAAATGTTAGTGGCCAAGCGCAGGGCATCCTCAAGCCTAAACAATAATGTCCGAGGGAAGAGAGCTCTGTGGCAGGAGTCTGACTTTGCTGTTGACAACCTGGGGACCAGGACTCTTCGCAGGAGGAGGAAGGTAAAGCGCATGGCGGTGGATGTCCCACAGGACATTGCTAACAAACGGACCATGACCCAGCCGCCCGAGGGCTGTAGAGATCAGGACATGGACAATGACAGAGCCTACCCGTATCAAGAATTCACCAAGAACAAAGTGAGAAAAAGGAAGTTGAAAATAATCAGACAAGGACCAAAGATGCAAGATGAAGGGGTAGTTTTAGAAAGTGAGGAAGTAAATCAGAACAATAAAGACAAAATGGATTATGAAGAGCAAAAGGTCTCAGACGAGCTCATGAGCGAAAGGTGAGTGGGAGGTATTTTACTTTTTTTCTAAATATAGAAATGTTTGTCTAAAGCTTTTGTAGTTGAATGTGTTTTATATTTTAATTAATTCTATTTTTCAATAATTATAAATTGTAATAATGATAGTGATATTGCTGTTTAGCCATGGTTGTATTTCCTTAAAATTTATGGGTTTTGCACATAGCAAAATTGCTTATACGATTTACAGAAAGTCTTTTGATAGTGTTATAATGACTTAATTTTCAGCTACAAAGAGAAAAGGAAATAGATTTTCAGTGGGAAAGAATGTTCCTTTTAACAGCAGCACATTTGTAACTCTTTGCCTTGGATGTATAATTATTTATTTGTTTAACTATACAGCTTTAGCCTTTGGTGTTTTGTAGAATACACAATTTTTAGTCCATTCTGATACCTGAGGATCAAAAGTTTATACCACTTTGACATATATGTAGCTTGATATTTTAAAATAACTGTAGTTTGCTAGGAATTCAGATCACTTACGAATTGTAAGACCAAATTTATGGTCTAGAAACACCTGATTTTGTTAGAAAACTGGAAGAAGAAATGATCCATTGGCAAATAGTCTAATCCATTCTAGGAAGCAGGTATACCACTATGATAGTCATTAAGTGAGTGCTATTTTGACAGCACCAAAAGGTAAGTGATCATTTTTCTTTCATACAGATTTGATGGTACTTGCAGGAAATGAGATGATACTGACACTGTTCATTCTTTTAGATGTGTGTCCTTAAAACCAAATGTTCAACCATGAGCCAGAAAAAAAAAATCCTTTTAAATAGAATCCTTATAAATGAATCCATTTTTGATTTGTAGGATTGGGATTATTTTAATTTTGTGAGTTGTAGGATATTTTCATTTTCTTTTGTTTTGCTTATAAATATTATTGCAGGCATGATTAGGGCTGATAGAGTTTATAGAATGACTCTTATGAGACATAATTTACTAGTCATGTAATTTTTCTAAAGAGGTAAAATATACTTAAGATAAAAAAATACTTCAGGAAGGCATTGAAAAATGGTACCTGCTTTTCTTTCAAGAAAGTTGTCGCTTTTACACAAGAATGACAATTAGTTGTGTGTTAGTAATGGCCCATTGTGGCTGAGGACCACTCAGGCCAACTTAAAAGTAATTATCTTTTTCAGTTCCTGGGGGAGAGTGTGTTGGGCAGTAATTTCAAGTCTGGATTATTCTGTTGGATTACTTGCTTTCTGAACTGATTGTGCAAGCCCCTCCTTTTACTTATTTATTTCTTCTTATTATTTTTTGATTTCTTCCTTTTATTGATCTGCACCTTAAAACCCCTCCCTGGGAACAAAAATGAGAAGAAATCCCCTTAATTTATTTCTCTTCATTGTAAAAACAAAAAAAAAATTTAAATACCTGCCAAGTATGATGGGCTACTCCCAAATCCATGCCCAGATTTTTAAAGAGGATATTTTTAGTCTTGGGTGAAGTAAAAAAATACATATTTCCTCTGATTTTAAACTTTTGAATTTAATATTCTTTTGCCAGTTCGGGCGGATTCCCTCTGAGGGAAGATTGCTAAATACATTCAGTGTTTTCTTCGGGAGTGTAATTGTTGCCCAAAGTTTTGTTATTATAAAACACTTCGTATCTTCTTGGAGCTAATTTATAAATACGAACAGCTTTGCTTTGTGTTGTTGTGTGTGTCTCAGACTTAAACATTCAGTGCACTGTTGTGCACTCTCCCTGACCGCAGCGGAGATGGTGCTCAGCCGCCTCTGGGGGCAGCGGTGGTAGAGACTGAAAGGAGGGAGACTGCTCCACGGAGTTGTGCTCTGGAGCAGCAGCCGAGGCGTGTGCAGAGGGGAGCAGGGGAGAGGAAGACAGAACAGGCTGTACCAGGCCTGGCCGGACCGTGCAGCCCAGCGGGCAGCCTTTCCCGAAGCCCTGTGTGCCGGGGCACACGGCTAGCATTTCACCATAGGCGGGAGAAGCCAGTGAAGAATGTTTAGCAGTGGAAGTACTCAGTTAGGTTTACATCTCATCCGGGGAGCAGCAGCGGACTTCCGCTGCCCTGGTGGCGAGAAGCTTTGAGTTTTAAGAGAGGGACTCAGTCGGAGGGGAACTACCCGAGTCGGGGGCAGCGCCGTCCTCCGGAGATGCTCAGCTCTCAGTCACAGAAAAACCAGAAGGGCAAGGGTTGGGATTGGTGTACCTACACCGACTCAACACATTTATGGAATATATGCTCATCTGTATAGTGTACTACGAAAACTACACCCAGAAAGGAGGGAGGAGCTAAACCACAGTGATCGTTTCTTTCGTTTAAGTTTTTCTCCTGATTTATTGATAGAAATAGGTATACGATGTATATGGAGCGATCAGCGAGGTATCAGTGAGGTGTCATCTGAAGAAGGAAACATGTGGACCGACCTGTAAAAATATCGCAGAGATAGACAAGGATCATTAAGGCCTTAAAGCTGGGCTGAGAGAGGAAATTCTGATTCCTTGCACAGTGGACCCTTGACTTCACGAACTCGATCGGCTGGTTGTAACTCAAGTTGGTTGTGAGTCAGTACAGCTGAGATCTGGATGTTTATCTGGGCACACGTTATAGAAAACAAGAGGCAGATGAGTCTTCCATTAACCTAATTAAGCCAAGTCGGGGCAGTCGTAATTTGAGGGTCACTGTAGCTTTGGGACAGTGGGCGTGTGGGGGAAAGAGGAGATAACATATCAATTGGAGACAAAGCATAAACAAATGAGTAGAGATGAAGTTGGGAAGAACTTAAATGGAAACGCATCCACCGGAAGCCTTCGAGTTGGAATTTAATCCGACAAATGTAAGGTAATAATTTTAGATTTTTATATAGAAGATTGCCTTCGTACCATGTGTGTATATGCATGTGTATAATTCACGAACTTTCCTTTTTTGATGTAGTTTTAAATTTACAGAGAAATTGGAAAGATAGCTTGGAGAGCTCTGTGTATCACATTACCATACACTCCACACTCAGTTTCCTATTGTTAAATTAATTACTGTGATAACCTTTGAGACAGTTAATGAACCAATATTGATAACTTTTAAGTAAAGTTCATAGTTTATTAGACTTTCCTTTGCTCTTACTTAAAGTCCTTTTACCTGTTGCAGGGTATCACATTATTTTTAGTCAACCACTTATATTTTTGAAAAGATGAACCTGGCTACATGTAGGATAGACTGTAAATCTGACCTCAGAAAATCATGGTACCAAAAAAAAAAAACTAGCACATTTATTCACAGTTCACAAATCTGAACTCTGAAAAGCTGTGAAAAACTAACTTGTGGCCAGACTTAACCTGCACTATATTTAAGGTACATAATCATTTGCTTAATTGAAAAATGTAATGGATTTAATTACAGAGTACAACCCTAGGTTGCTCTAGGCATTTTCAAGTATGCTTTTCTAAAATTTGAGAACTTTTGAATTTTAAATACATTTTGCCCTAAGGGTTTCAGAGAAAGAATAAAGACTTTCATTTGAGTTGTGTTGATGGGAACAATAGGAAAAAGAAAAACAGGGAAAACATCTGTGGTAGTTTAGATAGCTAAATAGTAAAAAGCTGAAGTTTCTGAAACTTTTTTTAATAATCTAGCATTACTAGGCATAGAAGAGCATATGTGTTTGTAAATAAGATGATATGGATTTAATGCCCTTAAAATATTACTTTATTACCAATTGTGTAGTGTAGGGAATTTCCACTTAATTTGAAGTTAAAGAAAAAGATTCTAATTCAGAGCTCCTTGGAATGTGCTTCTTGGTAAATTCTGAGACTTTTCACCGATATTAATATTTATTTTAAAAAATCAAATAACTGAAAATTGATGTTTTATAATAGAAAATGTGTCATGTCAGTATTATCAATAATTTTAATCTTATCTCAATTTAAATATTTTGAAACAGGTTAAGATGCCTCATTTTTAATAAGAGGGGTTATATTATTCTGTTAATGAAAATAAATATTTTAATATAAAAAAATCATCTGGGGCAATTTCCTGCTTTTGAAAATTAAGAATTGCAGTAAGAGGTGAAGTATACGAGAATTTTAAAAGAACATCACTCAGTCTTTTGTAGAGGTCAAACCTCTGATGATGTGTGTGTATTTTCTTGGTGTTTGACGCTAACTAGCCTGTCATAGAAACTTCTGTGAGAGCTCCTAGTGACAGTGTGTGCACATTGGTTGAATGTCTGCTATTTATTTTAATTTGCATGTTAAATATGAATCTGCATCATGGCCTCAAACTTCCGTGGAAGTATTGAGAATCGGCGTGATTTTTGCACATCTTCTGAATACATCAGTGCAACCCATTTTGTTGCTCCAAGTGACCTTAACTTTGATTTAGTGTATTGTCTGCATCGTAAACTTCTCCTCCCTTGTGCAGTAATAGAGTTGTTGTGAATTCTTTAGTAATATCTTTTCCAGAATATCTGCAGATGTGGTGATGAAAAGTCATTTCATCCTAGGTCCTTGTATTTCATGAGGTGAAAAAAGTCCGAGCCTGCTTTTGATGGTGACTCTTCCCATTTTATTGAGCAGTGGTGTTTCAGGCTCAAACTGAATCTCACAGCATAAGAAAGGAGCAGTGAGCATTTGATGAAAGCAGATAATAAAACACATCAATTCTGTCAGCACCTCGTTGCAGTCACATCTGGCTTGCTGTCAGGGTCCCATTAGATTCCTGGGGTTTTATGTGCCAAAAATAATATGCTCTGCAGTTAATGGAACCAGGATATTTGCAGTTTGATTAAAAAAAAATCATCTTATTTTCTTTCAGATCTTTGTCAGGCTCAAGTTCCATGTCTGGGCTGCCATGTTTCTTTAAAATTTTACGACTGAGAGATCAATTGTTCTTTTGATCTGTTTCTTTTTCTTTTTCTTTTTTTTCTTATTACAGTGACTCCAGCAGTCTCAGCAGCACTGATGCTGGTCTGTTTACCAATGATGAAGGAAGACAAGGTACTGAAATACTGTTTTCTCTTCTCTTTGGAAAAGTCTTCATTTGAAAGTTCTGTTTATTAGAAATTGGTGCTTTCCTGAGTTGGTGTCTGCACTGCACGTCCATGACACACGGCTTAGCAGGTTGGGGTCAGTACTGTAGCTGGCTTTTCCACATGCTGTGTGGCAAGTGTCCTTTCTTCTGACCTCCCAGTGACTGGTCATCTCCAGAAGCAGATGTGCAGTGCTAATACTACTAGGGAAGGCTTACCTTCCCTGAGAAAGTTTCACATACCCAAGCCTTTTCCGATTTGTCTCTTAGTAAGTCCACAAGACACTGATTCCCATTTTCTCTTGATTGGAGGTGTGTTTAAAACTGTTTAATCATTCATAAAGGTGGATTTGCAAATCATTTGTCATTTTTATTCAGCTGTGACACTTACCCTATCCAGTTTGTAACTAAATGACTTTTATGAATTCAGTGTTATAAATTGTTCAATCAGATGTTTTCTCTCTTTGAAACTTCCTGAAGCTTTTCACACTTTAGTGCAGCAGTATTTTGAAGTAATGAAAAATATGCAAACCTCTACAAGGGGATAGAATTCATCCTTAATTGGATTAATTTCATTTAGTCACATCTGCTCATGACTGTTTCCCCTTTTATACTCCAAACAAGTTATGAACTTAAGCTAATACATACGAGCACTTATCACAAAGGTTATTTTCCTTTCTTAAGAATATATTAAGGGAAAACAGTAAGAGAAAAACAATAGACTTACTGTTTTAAATTTTATTTAATGATGTTATGAAAAGAAGACAAATAGCTGCCCACACTTTTTTCCTCAATCTGTCCATCAATCCTGAGTAAATAATGTGGAGAAAGTGATCGTGCCTTTTTTGCTTACTTATAAATTTTTGTCCCGGATTTGTAGGTACATAACTTAAAGACCACAACTTTTTTCTTTTCTCATCGGTACTGGGCATTGAACCCAGGGTCATTCTGCCGCTGAGATACATTCCAGGGCCTTTTTATTTTTTACTTTGAGATAGGATTTAAGTTACCCAGGCTAGCCTTGAACTTTTGATCCTTCCTCCTCAGCCTGCCTAGTAGCTGGGAATACGGGCATGTACCACAGTGCCCAGAAGCCCACCAGCCACAGACTTTTCAAAGTTGTGACTTTGCTGAAATATGGTAGAATCTCAGTGGTACAAGTAAGCTTACTTAGTAATATACCTACCTAAATTCTCATTAAAATGTAGGTCTCTACCCAAGGTTACATTATAAGTGTTGGTATTAATAATGAACTGATGAATTTTTTTTAAAAGCAACTTTTTTATAAGCTCATCTATCCATCTTTGGAAAGCATTGCTTGGATTAGACTGAAACGCTAGCATTTCTTATGCACTTACTGTATTTCATGCCTCTATGTGCTTTTCTTGTATTAACTTACTGTGTTATTTTGTTCTCTAAAAACCCTTGTCCGCAGTTTTTTAAAATGAGTAAACCTGTGTCAGTACAGTTGAAATAATTGTCTCAAAGTTACAGGAGAGTAGATTCAGTTGGTTTGTCTGACTCTCTGCTTGAGTTCCTAATCAGTGGCTGTTTGATTCCCTCTTTGATGGTAAAGTTGTGCAGCAGATTGAAAAAAGGAAGAAGAAAAACACTTCATTTTCTGGAGTAGTGTTGTCTTATTGGGAATTACGCTTTAGGGTAGTCAGTTTCAAGTGACTCCCTGTTTTTTATTATGTTTAAGAATTATGCTATTTTAGAAATTAATTATTATTAATCCTTCAGTTGAAAGAAGCTATAATCCTAGTTTTACAGTTGCTTTTGGTTTTTTCACTCCTGCTTTATTTTAAATACAGCTCTTTTCCATAATCATTTTCAATTGATGCGTAAGGTATTTCATTTTGTCTTTAAGAATATCTGGGGGCCGGGGATTTAGCTCAGTGGTTTCGCCACCTGCTGCACAAGTGCAAGGACCCAAGTTCGATCCCCGGTACCAAAAAAAAAGAATATTTGTAGTAGTAAAAGGTTTTCAAAATCAAGGATCCCTGTCTCTAAAGGGAAAGAGTGTATGTTAGCTACTTGGCCCTCTGAGCAAGCAGAATTGGTGGTTGCTTCTAAGAACACTGAGAAGACAGCAATGACTCACATTGATCCATCCAGACTGCTGTGTGTCTCATTTGTAAAAGGCATCTGCATTATATATTTCTATCTCTAAATAACTTTTAAGAATTCTTTCTTTTACCTAAATGTTGGTTTTCACCAAGAGCCCATGTCAAATGGAATTTTAAGCTGATTATTTAGTGGTTACACATGTAAATGTTCTCAGAAGTCGACATCACTGAATAATGGTCTTGTTAAAAATATCTTGCTTATAATAGTTCAATGTAGTTTCTTCATAAACTCCAGTATTGTCACTTTTCATTTAAAATCAACTTTTTCAAAACTATTTCTTAATGAACTTAATTGGATTAACTTCATTTAATCACATCTGTTCATGATTATATCCCCTTTTCCACTCCATACAAATCATGAAATTAAGCTAATTATATATCATTATCAACTACAAAGAATGGATTCCACAGTTTGCTACTCTCTAATTCCTGGTAGATGATTAGGCGTTGATTTTTCTTAATGTGGAAAGGGGAGTAATATAAGTGGATTTCCCTACAATTTTTACTGAGTTAATTATTGTTTTCTTAATTTTTAAAGTGGTTAGAAAGCATAGTATTTTGTGGTTTTGTTGGTGGCAATGCCTGTCATCATATTAGGGAACATTTCTCAAGTGAAGCTGTAGTATACAGTAAAAAGTTGAATTTATATTTTATAGATGTGGTTGCTAGATGGAATAGAGGATCCCCAGTTAACTGTGAATTGTAGCGAAGTAGCAGCTTTTTTATACAACCATGTCCCGTGCAGTATTTGGACATACACTAGAAATTTAGGACAAGTGTTGTGTGTTTACAGTAAAAGTGAACCTTTTATCTGCCATGCAGATTTAACTTGTGTCTTACATTTTTTTATTGTCGCACAACCTGAATCACAGGTGTGGGTGATAGGACTGAATCTTTGGGGGGCCGTTTTGTCTGTTTCAGGCGATGATGAGCAGAGCGACTGGTTCTGTGAGAAGGAATCGGGCGGAGCATGTGGCATCACTGGAGTCGTGCCTTGGTGGGAGAAGGAAGATCTCACAGAGCTGGACAAAAATTTACCAGATCCTGTCTTTGAAAGTATCTTAACTGGTTCTTTCCCCCTTATGTCGCATCCGGGGAGAAGAGGTCAGTAGTGCTTCCTAACCAGTGTGTACTTGAGCTTGTGGTCAGCCTTGGAATTTTCATTGAAAAAAGATAGGCTGAAGTGGAATTAGAGAATGTATAAAGAAGCACGGTATAAAGAAGCATGCTTAAAAGGCATCTGTTTTCTATATTGTTATCTCTAAAATAACTTTTAAGAATTCTTTTTTTTTAACCAAGTGTTGTTTTTCATAGTGTTTACATTCTTTCATTCCACTGATCCGGAGATAGTACAGAAACTGACTGGCTTTTCTTGCTGGGCTCATGTGGATTGGGAGAAGGGAACTGTGTTTTCACTCCTCCAGGTGTAAACACTGGTGAGGGCAGTGCTGACTGCATTAGGACTCTGCCAAGCAGTGCGGCAGTTCTTTTAAGTGTGAGTTTTGCATTTTGTCCAACAATATTCAAAGCTTTCATCGAAAGTACTCAATTCTCTCTTGATACGATCTTCTATGCCCCCATGATTGCAGCATCTTCTAATCTGAGAACTTTGGTTTCCAGGTTTCCAAGCTAGACTCAGTCGCCTTCAAGGAATGCCTTCAAAGAATATTAAAAAATCCAGAGGGACCCCATCTTCAATGGTAGGCATGCTTTTTTTATTGAATTCTCATGTTTGGAAATGTTTCCATTCTATGGAATAAAAAGCCACACCCTCATTCTTTATTTATATTCTGTTATACTTAAAAATAATCCATTTTCTTGTAGGCTACAAACTGGACCAGTGAGATTCCCCTATAAACCAAATCTTCTAATGCTAATAAATTAGTTACGTTTTGAACATCTGGGGAATGACATTCGAGGGAACCTGGCTCCGGTCCTCTTCCCCGGAGGGATGTCACTGAAGTGAGAGCCTCTGGTACAGAGATGGGGCTGTTTTGGCTGGAGGACTGGTACTCTTCCTTCTAGTCAGATGTGAACCTGACTGGGGAGGCTGTGTAGAGATCCAGGTTGGCCCAGGGTGGATAGAAACTACTGTAAATTTTATATATTTTTCTTTTATGGGTTTTTTTTAACACTGAATCCACTTATGTATTACTTGCTTTGCCAAAATGCTAACAAAAGCTAGACAATTAAAACTTCCAGATTTAACCTAAGTATTCCTTAATGTTTATATTGTGACTAGTTAAGAGTTAATTTTTATATATCTGACTGTTGTAAATAAAAGACATGATGCGTTGACATTTATCATCATTTTTAGAGAAATCATCTATAACCAGCATTATTTATAGTATCTGCATTTTACTCAGGGTATTTTAACAAGGGCTAAGATAAGTAAGATAGGTAAGGTTATTAATCTTTGCTGGAGTTTGTATTTTGTTCAATTTCCTTTCTACTTGGATAAATTGCTCTGTATTGCGAACCCACTGTATTTTATATTACAGTTTTCATTGTACAGGAGAAGTCATCCTACTTCTAAACTAGCCAAAGTAATCACCAGTCTGCAGTAATAGAATCATTTGCTATTACCTTTTAAATCATCTGTTTTGTGAGATATCTGAAATGTATCACAATTTTGATTTGGGTGTACAGTTTAATGAAATCATGTGAAACTTGGTATTTTAAAAAACACTGTGTGACTCTGAATCATGCTGTCATTGCTCAGAGTGAGGCTGCTTGTTCATCTTAGAATGGCAGATCTTGTGTGTCACTGTGAGTTTCAGATATGCTTGCATAGCTCATTTTCACCAGCGAGGGGTGGGGGCAATTAACATTTCTGTGGGTGGCAGACACTGCTACTAAGTTCAGGCCATCTGAGTCCTGCATGTTACAGTGGTTATATTAAAATGATGAATATTTTTATTAAATTCCAAGAATTAATGAAGTCACTGTGATTTAATATGTGTATTTTTATATTGTATGGATTGTTAATTCAGCATTTAATGATAACCTAACCATGATTGGAATAGAAACTTAAAGTTGACAATGCCTTTAAGTAAAGTTACTGGAATCTGAAAGATTTTATTCAACAAATATATTAAGCAGGAATGTGTAGCATCTCCTTTTAGATTGCTTATCTAACTGGAGAGATTAAAAATGAAAAAGTGCAACTTTGAGTCTCTTTACTTTTGCATATTTATTAAAATGGTAATTAAAAACAATAATGTGGTGTTTAGAAATTGTAAGGAAGCTTGTTTTGCTATGTCTTTGGAGTGAAAATTAATGCTTTTCTTTTCCTTGATTACATGAATGCTTTTATTTTATTTTGTATAATGACTCTTTCAGATCTGAATAAGTCACTTTAAAACCTTGGCCTTTGAACTTTGCCTTACTAATCATGAATCTAGATGAATACTATTTAGCTCTTGGTTCAATTTTACCTATTTTTATTTTTGGTTCACTGCTTGCTTGAGCATAGCTGGGATTTGTAGCCCATTTTCTAGGCTTATTGCAATCTCACTGTGGTATTTTATAGAAGCTATTACAACGGATAGGTGAGCTTCATGGTATTGATGATACATGGCTTAACCGTACTAACAGCTGCCTTCCCTCTCTAAATTGTAAAAAGGTGATTAAGTTTCACTTGGTGGAGATATACTATGTATGTGTGTGTTTATCATGGAACTAATGCATCAGGCCATAAACTGTTTTCCTAGTCTTTTGTTTTGTTTTGTTTTTTGTATTCAAAATTTTACTGAAGCAATGGACTCCTTCAGGTTTTCTTTCTTTGAACCCTGAATTGTCCTTGTTTGAATTTTAAAGTACTGTAAGTTTTTTTTCTTCAATAAAATCTCTGACTTGGACGAGAAAGGTAAGAGTTCCAATTTGTGCTGATATTTTTCTGATTTCCTGTGCTAAATGTTTGTTGCATTTGCTTGCAGTATGTTTGACTAGTTTAAGAATCATAATCTCAAAACCATGACATTTCACCAATATTCATCATTACTGGTAATAAGAAATTTATTTATATTAGGGTTTCACAGTGCAAGGCCAAGTTGCTTTTTAAGAGAGATTAATTTTCTGAGCAAACTCAAACACATGTAGCTGCACCCTGTGAAGCAGAGTGGCAAGAAAGGGTTTCTTTTTCTGAAACGGAAATGAGACTGCATACACATAACGATGTGATATCGCGGGAGGAAATGACAGCAGGAAGATCTTTTTCCGAGGCATCGTGTACACATTTCCCCTGGGAGATGTTTGTGGCGCAGTTGCAGTCAGTTCTAATTCGCGATGGTCGTGCTCTGTGAAGTCCGTGTGGACACTGGGTTAGGGGATGCTGAGCCCCTGTCCCTTAAGGAACGGCAGGGATGGCGTCCCATGAGCCTCTGGTCTTAACATTTTCATCACTGGATGAAGGCGTGACCTTGTTTTATGGATGTTTGTGTTCGAAGACACTTACTGTACGGTCTTGAATTGCTAACACTGAGCTCCTGTCCTGCCCAGTGGCACCGAGACTCGGGCGCGAGCCTAGCTTCCCTAGCACGTGTGTCTCCGTAAGACACCCCACTGTCTTGCGCTCAGTCAGTAGCAACCGCACTTCCCCGCGCTGTACTGGGGCCATTTAAGACAGAACCATCACCAACAAAAAGCAGCACAATGCAAAGAACGAGGTGCCGGGCAGGCCACCCGTTCACAGTGGGAGAGCCTGAGAGCAGAAGGCCAGTCACCTTGTTGACCCGAGCTGGGAACCCGCAGGTGTCAGGAGGCTCAGGTCCCCACGGCCGTACACGTGTCTGTGAATGATTGCAAACGCCCCGTGACTGTTGATTTTGGAGCCTCGAGTAGATTTTAGTCAGTAGGCATTTTTGCAAATAATAGAATCTTCAGATAGGATCAAGAATTGACTATATTTAGTTTTGTAGAGAGCAAAGGATATGGAAGGAAATTTACAGATTTTCAAACCAGTCCTTTGTGAATCTACATTCTGGCTCTGTTACCTGTAATTACTTTCGGGACCTCAGTTTCTCCCTTTGTTAAACACAGACAAAACTTTTCAGAACATAATGGGCCCAGTCTTGTCTTTGGCACATAGTGTATATTTATTTAAATGGTAATTATTATTATTAAATATATCAAACCCAGGAGCTGGTGACTTGTATCATGAGTCAAAGTACAGAATTTTAGACTTTCACCTTTTCTGCAGTATCTTATACATAATTTTCCTTCACATTTACTACTTAGAGTGCTTTACATTGCAGCCTTTTATGTTTCTTTTTGTTTTTGGTACTGGGGATCGAACTTGGTTCCTCGCGCTTGCCTCGCGAAACCACTTATACCTCATTTGTATTTGTCTTGGCACCTTTAATTTGTATTTGTCTTTAATATGATCTTAGCCCCCTTGTATTTGCCTTTAATATGATCTGTGAAGAATCGTTTTAAATGAATTTTAGCTTGGCAGCCAGTGCACTAAATCTCAAAACTTAACTGGAAACTGAAAAATTCCTCTACATTCTTCATCTCCTCCCCTTCCCCATCATTAAGCTATTCATTTGTAAAAAGAACTGTACTGTCTAGGAGGGTGAGGTCCAGATTGATCTGATTTTCAAAAATAACTGTGTCGAAATATATAAGGGGCAAATGCAGACAGAGTTGTGAGAATTTAATTCTGGTGGGAATTACTATTGCGATCTTTTTTGGTAGAAAAGAAACCACTTTCTAGGATGCCAGCTAACCAACCTCTCATTCCCTCCTTTTAGGAGAATTAAGCAAATGATAATTAAACCAAATTTAGCCTGCAACCATTTCCAAATTTGTTCATTAAGTACAATTCAGAAGAGTCATACAATAATGATGCCAGAATCAGTTCTAGTATGTACAAAGCGAATTTGTGTAACCTCACTGAAGTATAGCATTCCAGTCAGCCAGGATGACCTGCTTAGCACTGTAGTTGATCAGTGTTTTCTGAAGGCCAGAGACTGCTTAAATTCTCTTGCTGAACCAATGGCCTATCAACAGGTATTGTATCTGTCTACTGAACAGTAACATTCAAATTATGTAATCTGTTGAAAGATTAGGAAATGAATGGCTCATCACAATACTGTACTTAAATTTTATGTAAGATATTATAATATGTTACAGTATTTTATTTAAAAATTTGATAATTACCTTGGTCCAGTTTTTGTATGGTTGGAATGAGAATACACAAGGTGATGGTGGCATATGCGTTCATTATGCCGAAGAAAATGAATCTGATTTGATTGACTTCTTGTACATGTTTATTAAGCTTAAGTATCTGGAGAAACATGTGAGCATTAAACCTTAATATAAATCATCATACTGCACAAGCATGCATACTGCTTACATTTATTCTACGGTTTCCAGGACATAATAGTTTGTATCTGTTGAAAATTTTGAGTCAGTTTGTTCTGAAGGAGAAAAAGATTGTTGTAGGTATTTTCTTCTATGAAGTCACAGAAAAATGGGTCCTATGGGTAGCATATTGGTAACGGTATTCACGCTGTAGACATTTACTCTTCGTGTCTTGCTTTTTCTTAATATGTAGAGTAGGAAGGTTTGGTTTGGTTTATAGCCTTTTACAGTAGAAGAACCATTCAAACTGGAGTTGGTTCAAATAAGGGGATGATGTAAACTTTTCTCTTGCACTAGCCTAAGAAAGAAGTAATTTTATGATAGATAAGGAATC